TTCAGCAGAAAAAAATGTGACCACAGGCTACAATTCACAAAGGTAATGCTGGCCCAGTTCCTGTCTTAAAATTGTGAGGCAAATGAACTTACCTTCATTACAAGCCAAGTGGGCAAAAAAGGCAATAATTTGTACTGTTTTTCCAAGCCCAGCCTCATCTGCCAGAATGCCGTTGAGATTCTTCCTGTACAGCTTTGCTAACCAATCCAGCCCAATCTTTTGATATTCTCTGAGAGGCCCATACAGTAGGGATGGAGTATTGTATTTTACCTGTAATGTGAATTATTTGATAATTTTTTTCTGAGTTAAATTACCGGAGCATAAAGCTCCAATATGTCATAAAGCACAACCATCCTATAGTTCAATAACTAGAAAATACTTCTTGTAATTTGTCGCTAAAAATCTGTGAAATCATGAAAAAAGCATTCTTTATGTAAAAGTAAGCACACACAGTACCAGAAAACAGAGAGTCTTACCGCTGTTGTTATCCTGGAGCTGCCTTTAGGTAACAGCATTTCTGCTGCAGCAGCAACTTCTGCTATGTCTCGCGTGTGCTTCTTCGGAGGACTTGACCTGTCTATTCCCTTGTACTGGTCAATGCTGAGAAGGGAGTCTATGAGGACAACTTCTTTCTGCGGACTTTCCCTATCAGACATGTGGTCTTCCATTTCTATGAGAGAGAAAAATTATGTTGGCATTTAAAATAAATTTAAGTATCAGTTACACAAAGGAATCTAGATGGCTAGAATTCAGACAGGGGTCTAAAAGGAGGCAACTAACTTTTAAAAACAATTCTATGATTTTCAAGCTAGTCAAGCTAAAATGAAAATAGTCGAAGCTCAGGATCACATACATGTTCTGGATGTTCACACTACCTGAGCTAACATGATCAATAGCTTTCTACAACTTCTGGGGAGGTCCTCTCATACTACCTAAAACCTATCTTCAAATACGTAATTCTATCGTCACTTCAATACAGAACAGGTGGCAACTGTGTAACAATAGCTAGCTATGGAGTGTGCTGTTTAATTCAGTGTAGAGAGGCTCTTCTATGGCTCACTATTGTTCCTGAGAATCTCACATATTTTGACTTTAAGATAGGCAAACATTACCCCTTTTTCATAAACTGAGAAATCAAAAAAAAAGGCAAGAAATCCTTCACAGACCATTATCCCAAAATATTTAGCAATAACAGGAATATATATAATTTTTTCTAATGATCATTACAAATGCTTAGCAAGAAAGCCACTGTACTTTCCATTCATTCTTGTATGTAACATTATTATTCACTTAAAAAATAATAATTAAAAATAAAAAAGTGATTCTCTCAGTATCTGTTTTCCCCTAGTGTAAAATGTCTTTTAACAGAGACCTGAAGAGCCGATCAATTTATTTCGCCCTGTATGTCAGCACAACTTCTTCTAAACCAAAAGTACTGTACCTTCCTCACTGCTATCCTCTTCACTGTCAGGCTTCGGCTGGGGCCAGTGAAAGTTTTCTGCGAAGGCACCTTCATACATCTTCAGTAAATCTTCCAGAGGCAGTTCAGCTGAAGGTCATTCAAGGATGTAAGTTTAACAATATCAAAACTTGTAACAAGCAATACCATAATGGTATAAAGCCAAATTCTCTAATCAGAAGTTAACTGAAGAGGTAATTACTAGATGGATGATGGCAATATTTATTTAAGACCTCATTCACAGAGGACACTTGGCATTACACCAAGCAGTTAGCTCACCCAGCTTGCTTTGTACTGTATTACAAACCCACCACACAAACTGACAGCAAACCACTGGCTGGGGACCTAGGGGCATCAAATCCAGCTGCGTGGCTGAAAGATAATTCAAGACTTCAAAGTTTCAAAGCTGAGCTGTACCTCAGTCCCACTAAAGTTGTCTCCATGATCCCTTTTCTCATCTGTTGAAGCAGGAATGAGCATGCTGGCAGTGGCCAATCAAATCAGGAAACATCCTCATTAGGAACCTGGCTGACTGGCCAAGACTTATAATCACTCCAACTGGCCAGGTGGCTGCAGCCACTAAGCTGCCAAACAGATAAAACCCACGGATTTGGAAACTGCACATTAATTGCCAGGAGATCTTAGCTTAATGGGAAGCTTGCCTCTACAGATCAGCACGATTTTTACCGTGATAAGTGAGGTGATCCCTATGGGTATGCACATGAGCTTGCATACATCAAGCTCAACAGAGCAGTTATTGTTACGTTGCTAATGAAAGAGAGCTGCTAGCCAGAGCACTGTCCCTAAAAGCCCCTTATCTTGTATTTATATCCCCCAAGCTCAGCACTTCAGGGCCCTTTCAGACTTATCAAGTGGGTCACAAAACCTTTCTGAGATACTCAGGACAGTTGATAAAATGTTTATGTTCAATCTGATACATTTCTGGTTTTAAGTATTTATCCTGCATTTCTAGAATTAGGTTGAGAGTCTTTTTGTGTGAGGTTTTAAAGAAATGCAGTGCTTCACTAGAGAAATACCTTTTCTCAAGCTCCCTTGTGTGATAACTAGTTAAGTATATGGACCACTTTATAAAGTACAGATGTCCATCATCATCCCACAAACTAACCGCTACAACTTTCCAAACAGAAAAAAATAAATAAGGACTACATATGACTGAGCACCAGAATTCATTCAACTTCTCATCTATAACCCTATTTACAAATACAATAACTGCTGCATATTTTCACCTGTTTTCTCAGAGGCCACCACAGAGAGGAGTCAAGCTACACGCCTACCTTCTTTGGCTAGATTAGACAATTCAGTTTGATGGTTTATGTTTCCTTCTTTAGCTTCTTGCTCTTCAATTGTTTCTTCTTCATCTTCAACTAAAATAAAAACAAATGCTAACCTTGGCATTCAAATTACACAATAATTCAGGAAGTTTGTAATTATATGCCTCTGAAGTGTACTAGCATAGAATATTATAAGTTAGCAAATTCCAAAAGAAAGAGACACGTATGGAAAACAAAAAAATCTGAGAGCAACTATACACAGAATCTAAAAGATACATGAAAAGGAGAGAGGCACTTCTGCCTCAGGACAAAACTGTCTTGACAAAGCAGTCTTGAACTCTTAAGCGTTAGTTGACAAGGGTCACCAGAGATAGGTTACTCTGTGGCTTTAAACCACGGATTTTCTTTGTCAGAAACATGACACAGATGACATCACAAGAAAGGAATTAACGCAGATGAGTTATTCAGTCTGAAATCTTCAAAACAAGTTTAAGACCACTAGTGAGGTTTGAGAAACAAAGGAATGAAGAAAGAAAGAATTAAAATCCATCAACAATGACGGCAATGTGTTTTCAGGGAAAATTTTGTTTTCAAATTTTCACGGAAGCTCTTTCAAGGAAAATTTACTATCTAATTGACTATTTAATGTTGCTAAGAAATGGATGAGGGTTGGTATTTCGTTTGTGAAAAGCACTGAATTCATGCAGTAACAGACTGAAAACCTGTGGTTTCACTGTTTTAATATACCTTATGTACTATGCTACAGATGCACAATTTTGAGAAGTGACTTACCTTCCTCATCAGTCAAAGATGTGCTTGCCTTTCTTTTCCTTCCAGATGATGAACCCTAACATTAAATAATTAAAATATGTAAAATCATAAAACACAAATTTAGGGAGGGTTTTGTTTGTTTGTTTGTTTTTAAAGAAAATAACAAGTGCCTTGAAATCACAACAGCATTTGGTAACAGACACTTAACACCCATTAGCACTTTCCTGGTCACACAAAAACAGAAACGCTGCTCCTGTACTGAAGTAGTGTTGCAACCAGCCACTTCAAGTGTTTATGGTTCAAAGTACCCAGGTCCAGCCGTGGCACAGAGCCACAGCACACTCGCTCCCTTAGATACGTTATTGAGGCATAAAACTTTTACCCAGGTTGGAATCAAGGACTCAATTTCCACTAGTCAATGAAAAAGGGATATGGCACAGGCCGACAATTGTTCACTCTCAGCTGTCCAGCACACTCTGTAGCTTGGTTTTGCCTGTGCAAATTAACACTCACAGACAGTGCTAGGCCACAGTTTGGCTGGTAACACATGCTAGAGCTTGTTCCTAACAGGAAATTCAGATACAGGCATTCTGCTTGGTGAAAAGGGAGAGTTTCAGCAAGCGGGCATCAGCTGTGCCATGCCAGATGGCTCAGGGTCTCAGAACAATCCCTTGCCCACTTTTTCCCAATTGCACAGATGTAGCTGAGGAGTCCTAGCACATGTTTAATCTAGGGCAAAAAGATATTTAAGTTTCATTCATTTTGATCCATTTTTTAACGTATACCTATATCTTTCAGCAGATAAATCACAGCTGAACAGCTGAAAATACACTTTCATGCTCCACGAAGTTTACCCCTGGTTGCAGTAGACGAAACTCTTGCCCAAAATGAAGTCTAGCAATTAATTTGTACATTTTTTTGGTCATGCAATCTTAGAATGACTGATTCAAAGCCACTGAATATGTATGAATTCTTCCTTCAAAAGACACATATCAACCACAATCCACTTTGCTGTTAACAGATGTGGTTCGTAACCAGAAAACTTTTTCACACAGGTAATATTTAAACTAATTTTATGGATTTTTCAAGAAACAGAAAGACTTACCATTTCACTTTCCAATAAAAGGTCTTCTGCAGATTTTGTATCCCTACCTGGAAAATTATTATACTTGATGTAAGCATTAGACACTTAGCAATTTTATGTTTCTTACGTGAACTTTTAAATGCATTCAACATAAACCAAAACCTAGCACAAGAACATAAAAAAATCCTGTAACTCATAGTTCAGATCTCTTCACAACCTATTTTTTAGCATCTCACAATTCTATCAGCAACAAGATTAAATTCCACTGAGTGAAATGATGTAAAACAATAGCATCAGAATTTATATTGGATTTCTTATGAAATGGAATACAATTACCTTTCCTTGAAATTCGCTTTAAATTCAAAGCTTTTCTCCTTTTCTCTTGAAATTCAATTTGCAGTTTTATTTCAACAACCTAAAATGTAAATCAAGTCTAATAAAGCACTTACATTTTAAAAATAAATTACTGAAGATTAAAAAACCAGTACAACTCGCACAAGTATTAATAAGACAGTATTTTACCTGTTCAATGTTAGACCAGAAGTATTCTATTTCTCTAGCAATTGATGCAGCAATTCTCCTTAGTTTGTTTTGTTCTTCCCTCTTAGCTCGCTCTTCATTAAGTTTCTTTTCTTCGTGATAACGAGCCACAGTTCTTACCATCTAAAATACCATGAGAGATACTGAATTAGGTTACCTCAAAATACACACCATTGCATTTCTCAGGATTATAGTGGTTATCAGCAGCCGGATGTCGACCGTAGCTTTACACACGTAGCACTTAACTCCAATATTTCTAATTCTTACCATGCCAGTAAAACAACAGACACAAAAATCAAAGGAAAAAAGAAAATACAAGAACCATAACTAAGCAATCAAGTAGGAAACTCTGAATTCACTACTCTCTCAATACAAAAATTAGCAAAAAATCTACTGAAATTAGCAGCAAACACACAAAAGAAAACTTTTTTTCAGATAGCACATATGAAGTCATAGAAATCACTCCACAAAATGTCAGAGACCAAAGGTAAAACGAGTTCAAAAAGAGTGTACATACATGAGTGAAAGATCAGTCAACGGCTGTTAAATACTGACTTGACTGCAACCTTTAGCTCAGGAGGTCCCTAAAACATTGACTTCCAGAAGTCTGAAGCATACCGCCAGACGAAGGATCATTTTGTATTTGCCCTTCCTGTTTCCCCTATTCCTAAAAACTTATTGTTGACCACAAAGGGAAAGTGCTTCAAATTCAGATTTAAATTACATTCAAAAATGCAGATCTTCATTTTACAAAATGATACACCTATTTCAATACTTTGCTTATAAGGAAGAGAGTTCTGAGTTTCCATCATTTCAGAATATACAATAGAAAACAACATGGCAATTTAAACTAATGACCTTCAGTTGCTCACTTCACTACCCGAAACTGGTCATAAATGTATCAGAACAAGGTGCATCATCACTAGAATCCATAGAAAACACTTGCTTATTGTAAATAAACAGATTTTACATATTTCGCCTCACACTACCCCAATTTTCATTCCATCACTGACTTAATTATTCCCACTGTGCTGCTCTCTTCCCCTATGGAAACAGTTCCCTATCATGTTTCCACTGCTGTCCTTAGAACTCCATGGTCTCTCCTTCATCTTTTTCTAAGATTAAGAAAGAAGAATTAGACAGACACACACCCCCAATGGAAGTTATTTACAAAATTCTATATTTACTCTTCCTTGAAAGGGAACAGTATTCGTGAGATTGCCACAGTAGTTGTACTTTTCAAATATGACACCGTCAACGTATTGACTGGGTCCCCTAAACAAGCTATTTATTTCCAGATGAATAAAATCCACAACTATTATTTGCATCCACAATCAATACAATTATCTAGTCTGTTTCAAATGCTAGAATATCCAGAGTTGACAACATGACTTCTCATTTAAGTTAAAAATCAGTGCCTTATAGCCCGATCACTTCTATCTGTAGAAAAAGAACATTCAAACAGCATTGCTACCAAGACTAATTGTTCTGAGTCAAAAAAAATGTTTTTCAAGTACCTTCTTAGCAGTTGCCATCTTCCACTTTCTCTCTTGGGCAAAATCAGTTGCCATCCACTGCATTTCTTCCAGCAAATAATCCCAGTGAGATTTTGGTCTTGGAGCCTCTTGGAGTTTAGGCAATCGCCTCAGGGACCACAAACCTTCCTTTCTCAGTTCTGCTATTCGCTGATGGATTTGATTTTCCTTAAAAAGAAGTACATACAGTTACAATGAAGCCACAGAATGCACCTAAAATAGTAGCCAAATAGAAAAATAATAATTGCTCCCATTCCATCAAAATAATTGACAACAAATGAAGTCTGAACACTGCATCCACGAAAAAATTACCAGACTAAATTCAACTTGTGCGTAAAAAGAATCACAGTACTTCAACCTGTATTATGAGAGGTACTTCGTTAAATAATAGGATAAAAAGGTTCACCGGGCAGCACAAAAAACATGTTACAAGACATATGCAAACTGTAATCCAACAATCCCTTTTTTTATATATAAATTGAAATTGCAGATATATTTATCCACAGAAGATAAATATATTTTCATTATTAATACTGTTTGATTTTGTGAAAAAAACAAGTTCTCCACGATGTTAAATAAGCAAAACAGCACCTCCAGTTAGCTATGAAAATAAGGTTGCATTCACATCGAATGAGTAGATAGAATCAATATAATACTGTTATATTATTATAATATAATATATAAT